ATGTCTCTAAAGGCTTCTTTATATTTCAAAACTTACTCATTTTCATTCTAATATAAAAGTTTGTTAAGAAATTTTTACCGAGAAGTGTCTATCTTTGAACTGATTAGATTAGATATTCTATCAAAAAATGTCTTAATTATTCGCTTATTTTAAATGATTATATCTTTGTTTTAAAAGATAATACTGCTTCAGCCTGTATTAATTAAATCATCTCTTTCCTAAGAAAAGTAAATACTAATAACTTCTTAAAATATTTTTAATTTTAGAAATACTCAAATAAAGATACCTATACCTATATTGTTTTACTCTTTATATTTTCAGTATGAGATAACAAATGAAGATTTCTATTATATCTGAAAATATCCTACAGTTATCTATAAAATGAAAATTATTATTTAATAATTGAAAGATTATTTAAAATTTATCACTAATGCTGTAAACTTTAAAATTGAATAACTAAACTGTTTGCTTCTCTATACTTATAATATTACCTCATTTTTTATTTTAATTAAAGAAAATGTGTACATTATTTATATAAATTTATCTACAATAAACTTAACAATATCTTATTATTAAATGCAGCATGCTTCTCTTTCATATATTTTGTTTTTGAAAATAGTCATAAAGTTTAGACAAACCTCTGTATTCTTCAGAAGGATTTAGAAAATCTGCAGATCTCATCTTAGATATAAGTGAAATGATTACATCATAACAAGTTACAACATATCCTTTTACCTCTTTGCCAATAGTAATATATCTAATTCTATCAGTATTATAATGTGATTAAGATTTCATTGATTAAATTTTTAATGTAATAGTAATCACGTCTCTTTTCTTTTTTCTCAGTTTTATTTTCTGATAAGTTATATACTTAGTTTAGGTTAGATTTATTTTGAGAAAGTGCAAGATCAGTTTGTTTTAAATTAGTCTTAAATTATTTTAGATAAGATTTTTGTTATTTCTTTGATTTGTATTTATTTTTCAATTTTATATTTTAAATTTATATATATAACTTACTTTATTATAATAAAAATATAGCAAAACTATCATATTTGAATAAAAAAAAATATTTAAAATATTTTTAACCATTTTTATAAATTTTTTATATAAAAATTTTTTAATTAACGTTAAATCAAAAATATAAAAATATCAAATATATCTATATTTATTTATAATAATCATAAAAATTAGAAAAAAAGTAGAAAATTAAAAAGGAACTTACAATATTAAATTAAAAAATAAAATTATAATGAATTAGATATCATATATTTAAACCACTATATATAATATTTGTAATTAATGAAAATATTTATATTAAGAAGAAGATATAATATTTGTATATGATTATACTTTTTATCATAAATATTTTTTAAAACAAAATAATAATTATAAAGAATTCTATAAAAAAGTATTATATTTAATGTAAAATTCTATATAAAAAGATTATAAAAAGATAAATAGTTTATTAAATGATAAAATATAAGAGGTAAGCTATTAAAATTATATTATAGATCATATAATTTACTATATTAGTAACTTGATTTTAATAGCAAACTTCTCATATTAGATAATGAAAAAGCAAGTAATAGTAGAAAAAATATTAATAGACTTTAAAAATATTTTAAACTTGATAAATTATAAGTGATTAAATAAAATATATATAATTTTAATCTTAAAATTTTTATTCTTATCTAACTTTCTTATATCAATGCAAAAAAACTATGCATTGATATATTAGTTTTTAAAATATTATTGATCTTTTTTATTACTTTAAATCAATTTAAATCAAATATTACATAATATAAAAAAAATTAATATTTGATTTTATCATTATATGATAAATAAATATTCATTATGCTATGTAAATATATTTACTAATATATATTAAAAATTGATTGATTAATTTATTAATCATATTTAAATACTAAGTTTGAAAAATATATAGATATAAATAAAGTTAAGGATTAATAAAAATTTGACTTTTGCTGATAAGTCTGTAATAAATATTATCTTATATTATTAACTTTATACTTGGTCTATTAAATTTAAAGTAATATTAATTTAATAATGGAAAATAATATATGAAATTAAACTAAGTTATTAAAAAATAAATTATATAATAATCAATCTTTAAATTTATAATAATTTAGATGAGTTAATTAATTTTAATAAATGTAATTAATAAATATAATAAATATAATAAATATACAGAAAGAAAATAACATGTATAGTTTAGAAAAAGATGCTTTTATTATAAATAATTATAATCTTAAAAATCTTTAAATTTTAGTTTCTAAATATTAAACTTTAATTTTTGAATTTTTTTTTTTTATAAAAATAACTTTTATAGTATATATATAAAAATATAATTTTAAAATATTATTAATAATTTTTGTTTTTTTTAATTATATAATAAAAAATATAAAGTTACTTATAAGCTTAAAATTTATAATTTTTTAAAATTTTAATACTAAAAAATCTTATTATTAATTTTTGACAAACTTATTAAAATTATTTTAGCAATATTAATTATAATAAAAATATTATAAATTTATTATAAAAAATAGCTTTAATTATTATAATTTTTATAATTATTTAAACAATTTTATAATTTTTATTAGTAATTAAGTAATTTAATTTTTTTAAGCATTTTGCAGTAGAAAAAAAGAAAATTATCAAAAAAATTTTTTTATAAATCCAAATTTAATATTAACTTAAAAATTTTTTTGATAGTTTCTTCTTTTTCTATTACAATTGCTACAAAGTATATATATATAAATTTTTTAAGAATTTTTAAAAAATTATTATAATTAATTTTTTAATTTTAAAATTAAATTATTAAAAACTTTATTAATAACTAATAATTAATATTTTATTAAAAAATTAATACTTTTTTAAGTTCACAGACAACCTTACTTACCAAATAATCTAAAAGATAACTAATAAATTAACTATAATAATAATATGATAAATCTATAAATATAATAAAAAATTTTCTGTATAACTATTATGTTTAGAATACATATATAAATAAAATATTAAATAATATAATATTACACAGATTTTTAAAAAAAGAAAATTTTATTTCTCAGTAGAATTCAAATTTAAGTATCAAAATTAATTACTAAAGTTGCTTGTTTAAACTCATTTTAAATTTGATAAAATGTCTAAACTATAATTTCACTAATTTTTTATTAAAGTTTTGATATAACTTCACATTTTTATAAGTTTTAGTATAATTTTACCTTTTTTAGAATTTCGTAGATTTTTAATAAGATTTTAATATAATTTCACTAAATTTTACCTTTTTCTATTTAAATAACTTGTAAAACTTCTAGGTTTCAATCAATAACCTTATTAGTTGCACATATTTTCTTTTTAGAAATTTGTGTAATATTATATATTACATCTGTTATAAGCAACAAAAATTACTAAAATCTATTTTATTAAAAGATATAATTTTTTTTCTTTATAATTTATGTAATATCATATGATTGATATGTGTTACTTTATAATAGATTAGCAGTTAATAATAAAATAAAAAAATAAATAAGTTAAAAAAATTAAAAATACTAAAAATATTAATTTTATTAATTTTTATGAAACAATCAGATCAATCATTAAGTATTAATATCTTTAAATAATAAAGATCCTTATTTCATAAAAAAATGATTAACTAATTATTAAGGAATTAGATTATTGATAATATAAGAAAATTGTTATAAAATTCATTTTCATTAAATTGTATTATCACTTAAATACAAGTCAGATTTTATTACTAAGTAAATTAACCTTATAATAGATATCTAAAACTCTAGATAATTAGCAAATAGTATTCACTTATCTATATTAATTAGTTATATCAATCAGATATGATTTATCAGCTTTAGATATATCAAAAAAAAATATAATATTTTAATATCTAGTATTATAAAATAGATTATTAAATTTGTTATATTAAAATAAATCTAATGATAATATTTTTAAAATTTTAAAATTTATAATTATTAATATATATTAATTTTAATTTTTAATTTTTAAAAATTACTTATTATTTAATAATTATAAAAAATTTATTAAACTTATTTTATTAAAGTCTATTAAATAGTAGTATTTTATATTTTAGAGACTAAGATATATGAAATTAAAAATATTTAATTTTTTATATATATTTATCTTTAAAAAATCATTAGTTAATTACATTTTTTTTTAATTTTACTTAGGAAAACATTATAAATTTATATAAAGTATTTATTTTTTAATAAATTATTTTGTTAAGTAAAATTTGCCTATAATACTATTAAAAGAATAAGTAATTTGAAATAAAAATAAAAATTAATAGTAAATTATAAATTTTAAATTTTTTAGTAATGTTTAAATCATTATATTTGGATTTTTAGTTTTTTTAAAAAGAAATTTCAGTAATTGATCAATTTAAACATATTTGATTACTCTTAATCTTTTATTTATAATAGTTTTAATATAAATTTAATAAACTTGTGATACTGGATAATATATTATTTGAAGCATGTAGGGTGAAAAACTTGGTAATACTGAGAAAGATTATCTTTCTTAGTATTACCACCAAGTTTTTCCCACGTAATCTCAAATAATATTTACTCGGTATCAAATCCACTATTTTTTTACGTTTTTACTATGTATTCTAAGGTTTTTTTCGGAATGAAAAATCTTATTTGACACCTTATTTGACACATGGCTAATTTCGGTCAAGTTATATAATGCCGGCCAATAATCACGTGGGGTGAAAAACTTGGTGGTTCTCGTGTAATCACGTGATTTAAAATTGTAGTAGACCTAAAAAGTAAGAATAATGAACCGCCAATTTTTCTGTTATTGTTTCACGAGTATTTTAATAAAATTTTGAATAATCACTTCTTCTTATCACATATTACAGTATTTAAATACGAACATAATTGGTCCTCCTCAACATTCTTTTTTAAATAAAAAAAAAAGATTAAAAATAAAAAAAAAAGAATAATATGACGCAAAGTCAACCCGAAGAAAATGATAATAATTCTGACTCTATGTTAGGTATTCAACTTACCGGTCAATCGAACGATAATGATTCAAAAGTTCCTAAGAATTTTGATGACAATTTCAAGAATAACATAAATGATCATTCTTTTGCCCAAACAAAACCTGAATTAGCTGTTAATTTAGACAATTCATATTCTCTTGAAGAAAACTTTAGTAAAATCGTAGCAGAGAACGAAGAGTTAAAGAAACAACTTAAAGAACAAAGTCTTAAATTTCATGAACTTGAAATACAGAATAAACGAGATAACATTTACATTTCAGAACAAAAAGAAGCATTCGAAAAGAATATAAAAAATTTAAATTATCAACTTCAAGAAAAAAGTAAAGCATTCGAAAAACAACGTGATAACATTAAAATACTTGGAGAAAAAAATGAACAAAATAACCTTGAAATCTCAGAACAAAAAAAAGTATTCGAGGAACAACTTAAAAATTTAAATAAAAAACTTCAAGCAACAAATGAAACTTTAGAAGAAAAAAATAATGAAATTAAAGATCTAGAACAAAAAAATATCGAATTAAAAGATGAAGCTTCAAAATATCAATCTGCTCTTGGGACTGCAACTAGTTTAAGATTATCAGATAATGACGAAAATAATTCAGTTACACTTAAAAATGATATTTTAAGTTTACAAGATTCTTTAGAAGATTACATTACAAAATGTAAGGGTAATGTAGAAATTAATATTGAAGGAGTGCAAAACCTTTTGATAAAATATGGAAGTCAAACGGTTATTACGAAAGAAAATAAACCCTTAATTAAAGCAGTATTACAACGACATGTCGTTGAAACAATTATGTTATATGCGCAAGCCTATTTTGATAATCAAAACATTTACCAAGGAAAATTGTATGGTATCGAGACTACTTTATTCGCAAAAGCTAATGAAATGATAAATTTAACAAAAGATTTCGCAAATCAACGCATCGGAACTGATGATACAACCAAAATACTGCCTATTAAATTACGTCAACAAATATTTGGAGCTCTAGGAAACAGAGGATTTAATAATATTATTACCAGTGGTAAAAAAACAATAATTCACAGACTTATTTTACATATACAAACTGCTTTAAATGATGAAATTGGAAAATATCGTATAATTAAAGATCCTAAAAAGAAGCAAGAAATCGAAGAAATGGCTTCTGGTATTATTCAAAAATTAATCAGTTTATTTTGGTTTAGACTTGAAGTACAGGAACCATTTGCCGAATATATTTGGTCCGAACCTGACACTAAAATAGATCCTAGTTATATGGAAGGAAAGTGGGATGATGATGAAATCGAAAATCTTGTTGTAGATATTTGTTACTTTCCAACAATATCACAAGAATTCGATAATAAGTCAAAACGACACATTTATACACCCGGTAGAATCTTTCCAAAATCTAAAAGGTCATCATATATAAAGAATTTACTTTATATTTAGGGAAATTGAACAAATCAAGATTTTTTTTTTATCCTTTATCATGAAACAAACAAACAAACTTATATATTATAAACTTTAAATTTTATTAATAAAAAAAACAAATTATATATATGGTATATCTAGATAAATGAACTTTCAAGGATCCTTTAATAAATCGAATTTTGTTTGGAAATTTTGTCCATTAAGTTTATTCTTTGCGAATGCTGTAATTTCCATTTGTCCAAAAGAAAATCCAAAGGTAACCGGTCTATAAGCTAAACTAGCGTCGGGAAGGTCAATGCAAAGTGTTCCTAATAATTCTACTCCAAGATCATCGCAATATGTTGCATCATCTTCAGGTGTATAATATACATGAAAAGTTATTCCTGTTTGATTTGGATTGACCGGAACAAAACTTGAACTAAAATCTTGGTCGACCTTTACTTCTGTTCCTCTTTTTACAATATTATTGAAAGTAGCAATACGTCCATTTGCATCTTTTCGGTGAGGGGGGTCTCCTTCTTTCCACAATGGAAATATTTGTACTCCATATGTATACTTCAGTATACGAGTAGAAATCATGAATTTAATTTTATTCATTTTATCTGTATTAGAAGAATTCTTTAAACTTAATCCGTATATGGTTGCTCCACGTACAATTGCTGCCACGGGTTGATTAGGAACTGAAATCGTTTTCACTTTATGTTGAAATTCTTTTTGGATTCTTCTTTGTAAATATTTTGATTGACCAAAACCTCCAACTATAAATATTGCTGAACACGTTCCTTGATTATTTAAAAGTTGTATATGTATCATGCGAATAATTCTATCGATAATAGGATCAAACATTGTTTTTACGTCGTTATATTTGATCTCAATTAACCATTCATTATCCTCCATAAGATTTTCTGTTTCTTTACTAACATACTGTAATAAAATTGGGGCAGTTTCTTCGATATCTAATTCATAAAGAAATCCTTCATCTTCTCCGGTAAAAGGCAACTTTACACGTCGACAAAACTGTTGAACCATATAATGAAATTGTTCATAGTGATTTTCCATTAATAAATTTATGGCGTGACTTCCAAGTTTGTCCCGTAAAAATTCAACAATACTTTTATCAATAAATGTGCTTCCGCAAAAATCTCCAATACGTTCGGTGATTTCACCCAATTCCTTAGTTCCAATTAGCTTGCGAGTGGTTAAATCGACGGTCCCGCCACCGCAGTCAACGATCATAAAAGTCGCTATGAAATTAAAAAAATAAAAATAATAATTTATTTTAATAATTTTTAATATTTTTAAAATTTAATTAAAATTCTTCAAAAACTTACTTCCTGTAGTTAACAAATCATATTCCTTTAATTTATTTTCCATACAATAAAGCGCTGCTGCTTCGGCTGAAAATAAAAGAAATAATTGAATTAAATTTCAAGTTAACAACAATTATCCTCTAAAGCTTTTGTTTTTTTACATACGTTCTGTAGTAAATTGTAATTTTTGCGAACTTTTATCTCCAATTAATTTAGCATTAAATGCGCATTCTCTCATTATAGCTTTGTCTTTTTCCGTATATTCAGCGGGAACGGTGAAAACTAAAAGAACATTTTCGGTAAAGTTAATCCCAGTCCATCGTTCATTAATCGTTACATTGATTAGCTAAGATAATTTATATTAGATCATTAGGAATATTTTTATTAAAGTGCAAATTCGCAATAGCTTATATCTATTTTAATTATTATTATTTTTTTTTTTTATGCGTTGACGTAAAAAGATTAATTCTTACCTTTCCAAATTCACGAAGATAGTCCGTGATCGCTTTCTTATAATTAACTGGAAGTTTAGGTCTAAGATCTTCCTGTAAATTGCCCAGATGTAATTTAAATAATTCAACAGGTTTCGATTTATTTCTATTCCTTCGACTTGGTCGTTTAGATAATGCTGGATTTCCCCATTGTTCGACATTTGTAAAGCTAGAGTCATACTGGAGAACTGTATTCGTCTTCAATTGACCAACTTCCCCAGGCCACTTATCATTTGTACAGATATCGTTAGTGTCTGATATATGACAGTAAGCGAATCCCTGTAAAATGCAATTTTTTTCAATTATTGGATTATTGATTAAAATAAATTATCGATGATTTAAACAAATTTTGCTTACTGAGAAAGTGGTACCGAAATCTATTGAAAATAAATTAAAAATTTATCAACATTTAACAGTTAAATGTAAAAAAGGTAACAAAATGTATTTTAGTATATACCTAAACCAATTATAATACGAATATCACTTCGCCAGGACATTTTTAAAAGATTGAATATTCAGGTTTTTTTTTCTTTCATTTAATCTAATATTTATATGACTTCAATTAAATTTTATTGTATAAATAAATTTATTAATGTTCGATTATATCACAATTATAATGTTATTGTCAAACTAAATCTGGAAAATATTGAACGGATAAATCCAATTTTGTATAGATGGACCAATAATTTGCATTGCCAAGATAATATGTAATACTTTATTAGGATGTCGTGGTATATTAAAACAAAACAAGTAATAAAGTACAGACGTCAAATCTCATTTCTGATAAAACTAATCATAAAATTTTTAATCATTTCGTTATATTTTTATTAATTTTTTTTTTTTTTTTAAAAAAAAAAAAAATGTCCTCTTCAAAGGATGATATTAGAGTTGTTATCGGAATTGGTAGGTCAAATTAAAAGATTACATTGATTTGTTCATTTGATTTAGATTTAAATAGTCACTAAATGTTTCTTTTCTAGACTTTGGTACAACCTATTCTGTATGTGTTTAATTAGTGAATAAAAGTTTTCTTGATAATACATAATTTTCTTAACCTTTATTAAATAATCCATTTAGGGATATGCTTATGCTCACAAATCTAATCCCAAAGATATCTCTTCAGAAGATAAATGGTCGTCAGGTTTCCCGGATTATAAAACTCCAACCGTCATAAAATATGAAGACGAATCATACACTAAAGTAAAATCTTGGGGATTTAAAGCATTTGCAGACCGACCAAAAAAAAAGAAAAATACCGATAAATCTATACCTTTAGAACTATTTAAATTATTTTTATTTAAAAATTCTTCCATGGCAAACCCTTATTTACCTGATAATTTGGATTATAAGAAAGTTATTACGGATTATTTGAAAGAATTATGTAAGATGGTTAAAAAAAGCGTGAATACTCATTGGCAAAATTTAGAATTTTATACTAAAGTGTTGATTGTACTTACAGTATGTTTAATAGTATTTATTATTGTATTGAATTTCGGTATTTTCATGCGATTTTTCTGATTATTATTATTGTTTTCTTTAAAAAAAAAAAAAAAAAAGATTCCGGCAGAATTTGATGATGATGCGATTGCGATAATGCGTGAATGTGCTTTTGACGCTGGGTTAATTAATGAGAAAAATAGTTGTAATCTTATATTTACTACAGAACGTAAGTACAAAGTTTTTTTTGTTCCCTTGCGGGGGGGATAATATAATGAAATTGAAATTGATTTTGTGTTAAAAATTTAGCTGAAGCTGCTGCGGTATATTGCTTGAGCGCTCTGGAAAAAGTACATAATTTGAAACCTGGAGGTTTGTAGGAAAGCTTTTTATTTATACTTTGATTCTTTTATAATTATTTTTAATAAATTATGGCTATTTACAGATTCATTTATGGTTGTGGATTGTGGGGGTGGCACGGTAGATTTGACACGACATGAATTATTACAAAATAGCAAATTAAGTGAAATAACGGAACGTTCTGGTGAAAATTGTGGATCAAGTTTTATTGATAAAAAATTCATAGAATTTGTTGGTCGTAAATTAGGAAAATCCTTTGAATTTTTGAAAAGAAACCATTATAGTTCCATACAATATATGGTACAAGAATTTTGCAGACGTGTAAAAATTCCTTTTACAGGACAAAAAAACGAATTTCAATGTTATGAGATAGATTTGGAAGAATATCCCTTGTTAAAAGTACTTGTCGAAGGAAAAGAGAAACGATTATTAGAAAAAGATGATTGGCTAATATACATTGAATTTAATGATGTTAAAACAATGTTTGATCCTATTGTAGAGGATATCATTAAATTGATGACAGAACAATTAAAAAATAATGATAAAAAATGCTCTGCAATTATGCTAGTTGGAGGATTTGGCGAATCTAGATATTTGCAAGACAGAATTAGAAAAGAATTTAACAAAACTGTACCGAATATCTCTGTACCGACGCAGCCGATTATTGCAGTCGTAAAAGGAGCCGTTCAATTTGGACTCCAAGCAGACATTGTGGTAAATCGTGTCTTAAAACGGACTTATGGTGCGTTGTCTTCTTCATTTCTAATTCAATGCTTAGTAAAAAGGAAAAATGCTTTAATGCTTTTTGTTATATTTGTAGGAACGGATATTGCACGACGGTCACTACCAAATGATCCACCTTCACAAAAACTTCCAAATGGATATACAATAATTTTTGAAGCGCTTGCAAGGCGTGGTAAACAAATTTCACCAAATGATAAAGTTATTAAACAATTTAAACCATATTCGTTAACGCAACCTAATATTGGTTTCGATATGTATGTTACAAAGGAACATGATGCAAAATTTTGTGATGATCCTGGTGTTAGTTTACTTCGTGATTGGGAAATCAAATTACCTGAAATTGACAATTATGATGATGATACAACTATTTTATTAACTTTAACCTTTGGCACGGTAGAAATAACAGCTACCGCTGAAAATCAAAATACTGGTGAAAAATATCAAGTCAAATTGAAATACGAATAATTTCAAATTTCTTTATTTTTTTTATAAATATTTCACATTTCGAATGTATTTGTTTATTAAATTTTTTCTTGTATTTAATTGGAATTGGATTAGTCTGAATAAATATTAGTTGTCGTTGACTTACCACACCAACGATACGTCATTAAGATCGATTTTTCCTTCTGCTAATTGCGTAAAAAAAATAATAATAATTAATTGATTAATAAAGGAGATAAAATTACTTAAACTAAATAATTTGCGCGGGAAAATTTTCTTAAACTGATTCAATTTAGTAAACATTACCCTACCCTTACGATATTTGTTATTGCATTTATTTGAAATGTATCAACGAATTTCCTTTGAAATTAAATCCATTCATTAAGTAATACACTTATCCTTAAATTTCTAATCAAACATTCAATAATCGAATTCGATTATTTAATAAGTGTCGATTTTTACCAACATATCGCATATTAATTAGTGATATCGACACGAAACTTATTTGAGCCGAAATCAAATCACAAAACCAAGGTTTAGTATAAAAATGTTGTAGCATGCTTTATATTGATTACGTATTGAACGTTTCCAGCGCAAAAGGTTATGGCATTACAAACTATGTTGAAAGTATTTGAATTAAAAAAAACTGGGATTTCGATGAAGCTTTTCGCGTATTCATATTATAATTAGGTTTATAGTTACACAAAAAATTTTCGAATTGCAAAAAGATTTAGGCCGACTTCAAGAACCTAAGGGGAGTGACATATATTACCTAATATTTTAGGGGGTGGGGGGTAGGGATGTTAAGGTCTGTGACCAGACCGGTCTGACTCTGGTTTGATCATAGAAC